CCTGCCCCGTCCGCAGGTTCGGCCAATCGCGGCTCCCACTGGCCGCGGTTCGCTGCTCCAGGCCAATGGGGGCTGCTGGAAGCGGCGCGGGCCGAGGGACGTCCTGGCCATAGCTTCCAGCAGCTCCCATTGGCCTGGAGCAGCGAACCGCAGCCAGTGGGAGCCGCGACTGGCCGAACCTGCGGACGGGGCAGGTAAACAAACCGGCCCGGCCTGCCAGGGTCTTTCCCTACACAAGCAGCAGCCCCAGTTTGAGAAACACCGTTTTAGGCCAAGCAACTTCTCAGATTCCATCGTCCAAACTCAATTTCTCTCCCCCAAAGGCCATTGTGGGTATGTCTACACTGCAAAAAACCCAGCAGCAGCGAGTCTCAGAGCCCGGGTCAACTGACTTGGGTCTGCACTATGGGGCTAAAAAGAGCAGTGTAGACATTCTCACCGGCTGGAGTCCAGGCTCTAAGCCCCATCCCCCTCACCGGGTCTCAGAGCCCGGGTTCCAGCCCAAGCAGGAATGTCGACACTGAGCTTTGTCATATTCCCTGAAACCTGCCTGTTCTACAAAGTAGATGAGTCATGTGGAAGAGTCTGCTGGGACTCATCAGCCAGAAACTAAAATTAGAAGGATTTTGCCAAATCTGTTGAAATCTTTGGTTCCCTCTAATAGCTAGATACCCCATAAATTAATACGGTGGCAATCGCCTTTCCTAAACCTGTAATAATCTCGCCACCAGAAGCCAATATGACATGAACTGAGCCAAGAACAGGCCAGAACCCTTTACCCTAAATAGACTGTTCTCTTTAACAAGGAAAAATAAACATTGCGTGGTTTATGTGTTTGCCCTCCAGGGGCTGTTGAGAAAATTTGCCATTTAGTTTGGGGCTTTGGTTGCTGCATTTCGCTTATTCCTTGTTGATGCCAAAGTGCAGAATTCTCTGTTTCTGCCATTATTCCCCAAAATTAAATTTTAGAAGAATAAGCGAGACTTACAGGGTGCTCTGTGGCTGGAATATCTGGGGGGTGCTGCAGGTCAGGACTCAGGAGCTCTGGCAGAATTGGGAAGGACCCAGTGCTGGGACACTAGAGTAGGTTTGAGGTTTGTTGGCAGATCAATAGGGAGAGGGAATTTAGCACAGAAGATGCCCACACTCTACTGCTGGCTCTAGATAGTGCTGTCGGTCTCTCTCATCTATAAGCACCACTAATTCGTTTATTTTCTGTTCACTCCTTAGCAGACTGTGCTGCTGTCATCATGTCGGTCAGCGTCCACGAGAACCGTAAATCCCGAACGAGCACCGGCTCTATGAACATCTTGCTTTTCCACAAAACCTCCCACCCAGACTGCGTCCTGTCCCATCTCAACACCTTCCGGAAGCGCTGCGTGTTCACTGACGTCACCCTCTGGGCCGGGAACAGGTCCTTCCCCTGCCATCGTGCTGTGCTGGCTGCCTCCAGCAGCTATTTCGAGGCCATGTTCAGCAACGGCCTGCGGGAGAGCCTGGACGATGAGGTTAATTTCCATGATAGCCTCCACCCAGAGGTGCTGGAGCTGCTGCTGGACTTCGCGTACTCCTCCCAGATCATCATCAATGAGGAGAACGCAGAGTCCCTGCTGGAGGCTGGGGACATGCTGCAGTTCCACGACGTCCGAGACGCAGCGGCCGAGTTCCTCGAGAAGAACCTCTACCCTTCCAACTGCCTGGGCATGATGCTGCTCTCGGACGTTCATCAGTGCCGCAGACTCTACGAGCTGTCCTGGAGGATGTGCCTGGTCAACTTTGAAACAGTGCACAAGAGCGAGGATTTCAACAACCTCTCCAAGGACATCCTGCTGGACCTGATCGCCAGTGACGAGCTGGAGATAGAGGATGAGGAGAAGGTCTTCAGGGCCATCATTCAGTGGGTGAAGTATGACTTGGACAAACGGAAGGTGCATCTCCCAGAGCTGCTGAGGAACGTGCGTCTGGCCTTGTTGCCTTCCAAGTGCCTCAAGGAAGCCATGGCGTGCGAGGACCTGATCATGGCAGATGAGAGGAACAAGCTCATCATGGACGAGGCCATGCACTGCAAGAAGAAGATCCTCCAGAATGACGGGGTGGTCACCAGCCCCTGTGCCAGGCCCCGCAAAGCCGGGCACACCTTGCTGATCCTGGGCGGGCAGACCTTTATGTGTGATAAGATCTACCAGGTGGATCAAAAGGCAAAAGAGATCATCCCCAAAGCAGACCTGCCAAGCCCAAGGAAAGAGTTTAGTGCCTGTGCCATTGGCTGCAAAGTCTATGTCACTGGCGGGCGGGGCTCAGAGAATGGGGTCTCCAAAGACGTCTGGGTATATGACACCGTTCATGAGGAATGGTCCAAAGCTGCTCCCATGCTGATAGCTAGGTTTGGGCATGGCTCAGCTGAACTGGAGAACTGCCTCTACGTGGTCGGTGGGCACACGGCGGTGGCTGGCGTCTTTCCGGCATCTCCCTCTGTTTCCTTGAAGCAGGTAGAGAAGTATGACCCTGCCTCCAACAAATGGACCATGGTGGCCCCTCTAAGGGATGGAGTCAGCAACGCTGCAGTGGTCAGTGCTCGGCTGAAGCTTTTTGTCTTTGGCGGGACCAGCATCCACCGGGACATGGTGTCCAAAGTCCAATGCTATGATCCTGTCGTGAACCGGTGGGCGATCAAAGCAGAGTGCCCCCAACCTTGGCGCTACACTGCCGCCGCTGTTCTAGGCAGCCAGATTTTCATCATGGGCGGGGACACTGAATTCACAGCTGCGTCCGCCTACCGCTTCGACTGTGAAACGGACCAGTGGACGCGGATCGGGGACATGACTGCCAAGCGCATGTCATGCCACGCCTTGGCCTCGGGGAATAAGCTTTACGTGGTGGGGGGTTACTTTGGGACGCAGAGGTGTAAAACGCTGGATTGTTATGACCCTACCTCGGACACGTGGAACTGTATAACAACAGTGCCGTACTCACTCATCCCCACGGCTTTCGTCAGCACATGGAAGCACTTGCCAGCTTGAGAGGCATTGACTTGGGCCCAGAATTCAGAAGCTTAACCGGGTAAGATTATATATATTTTTAACCTGATACTTCACCTCCACCTCCTAAAATCTGCATCCACACCCCATGTCAAGACAGCTGGATCTAGACTTGCTCCTGGGAATGCCACCATTTCCCTGTATTTACATTTGAAACAGAGAGGTGTAAACGGATAGAAGGCTGAGCAGGCCCAGGGCATTGTATGTTGATACCCCTCTGCTCTCATACCATAATTATTTCAAGCTTGTCCCTTCAGTATCTTGGAGGCTTAGAGTGCACCTCATCCACTTGTATCCCAGGGCAAGACAGAGAATATGTTTCAATCATGTCTCTAATAGTACTTGTATTCAACACCTTCTGGTAGGGTAGACACTGTGGTGATGAGCACTTAAGAACGGCATAGATAGTCTGTCCCTCTGCTAGCATCTGGGTAAGTGTTTCATGCTGATCAGGGCCGGCTCCAGGCACCAGCCCACCAAGCATGTGCTTGGGGCGGCGTCTGGAGAGGGGCGGCGCGGCAGGGCGCTCCGGCCCCAGAGCGGGCCGCGACTGGGCTCGCCGCCCTCCCCCCGGCGCTCTGGCCGCCAGGGAGAGCGGAGAGCCCCAGCCGGGCTCTCCGCCCTGCTCCCGGCACTCTGGCTGCCGGGGAGAGC